AGTTCAATTGTACTAATTGAAGTCAAATTGGACTAATTCGAGTTCAATTGTACTAATTTGACTTCAATTGTACTAATTCGAGTCAAATTGTACTAATTCGAGTTCAATTGTACTAATTCGAGTTCAATTGTACTAATTCAATATCGATTTCACTATAATTGACTTCAATTGTACTAATTTGACTTCAATTGTACTAATTCGAGTTCAATTGTACTAATTGAAGTCAAATTGTACTAATTCGAGTTCAATTGTACTAATTGAAGTCAAATTGGACTAATTCGAGTTCAATTGTACTAATTTGACTTCAATTGTACTAATTCGAGTTCAATTGTACTAATTGAAGTCAAATTGTACTAATTCGAGTTCAATTGTACTGATTTGACTTCAATTGTACTAATTCGAGTTCAATTGTACTAATTGAAGTCAAATTGTACTAATTTGACTTCAATTGTACTAATTTGACTTTAATTGAATTAGTTCGATTTCGATCTCACTATAATTGACTTCAATTGTACTAATTCGATTTCGATTGTACTAATTCCGATATATCATATATATACTATATAATATATGCAGTATGATATATACTATATAATATATATTTATATTTAATATATATACTATATAATTTAATTTATATAGAATATAATTTATATGTTATACTTGATAGTGTATATAAACAATACTATCAATTATCTTGATGTTTGAAGGATAAGAATAAATGTTGCGCAAGTTATTCAGCGATAGCCTAGTGCGGTCCAATGGTAACGAGACGCCCCCAGAGACAACGGACTCACTCGAACCCGGGTTCGAGTCCCGAATCTGGGAAACTCGTTCCATTTTTTTAACATTTATAAAACGCATTATGAGAATACGTTTTATATTTAGGATATAAATATAAAACGTATTCTCGGAATACGTCTTATAAATAATGCGCAATATAAAACGTATTCCGAGAATACGTGTTATAATTTAAAACGTATTATGGTAATACGTGTTATACTGGGGATGAAAAAAAAATACAAGTTTTTTCTATTGTAACACCCGAAAAACCTGGACGAAACAAATCAAAAATACACAATCTTAACCAAAATACTATGAAAACCAAAATTACAGTAAATACCATCCAAACAATTCCAAACAAATCATCCAAACAAATTCCAAACAAATCATCCAAACAAATTATAATAATCCAACCAAATCCAGATGAACTCTCCAAACAAATTCGAACGAACACTAACAAATCTAATTTCCCCACTCATCACGAAGTCTAGACCTGTCGGTGCGAGGATGTGAAGACGGACACTCATCCACAACATGATTTGGATCACCGCATCTAGTGCACTGTCCCCTATCCCTCCTGCGGCGTGACCGACGATCCATTTGCATGCGATATCGTCTCGTTTGCACGCGACCTGGTCCAGGCTTCAAGATCATCCTCTCCCAGTGTGGTATCAATTTCCACTCGACCGGCGCCCATGTATCCGGATTACCAATCGGAGCAAAACTCCAATCACGAAATTGAGCTACCCAGTTCTCGGTCCAAAAATACTCACTGTACAACAGTTTTGGGTTGGTCTCAACTGAACGACAGACGGCTAACGCATGAGAGCATGGTTTCCGATGCGTCTGCCACTTCCGACAACTACAACGTTTTCGGTTGTAATCTACCTTATACCTGTAATAATTCTCCAGTGATTTATACATATACAATATGAAAAAATTTAAATTTAATGGACAAACAACAAAGTAAAAAAAAAAAATATACTTACATGTTTTGCCCTCTTCCACTCGCCCGTAAACCGGTTTCCACTCCGTACATGGAGCTGTCCGCTCCATAACATGGACATTATGAGTTGCGCCTGTCTGCTCCAATTGCAAATATGCGTTATAGTGCTCCGTAGCAATGGGAGTCCTGCATCTCGTGGACTTGTTTTGTTCCTGTTGAAACAAATCCAGAGTTTTATGCAATGTGGCATCTACCAAAGCTCTGCACGGCAGGAACCTAACCCCTTTTAGCACGTTGTTGTAACTCTCCGACATGTTCGTGGTCAATGTGCCCCATCTGCGTCCTCCTTTATCTTTTAACTGGGTCCACTTCTCCAAAGGAATTCGAAAAAGGAAATTGTGTGCCTCGGGATTCAATGCCAACAGTCGTTGTTCTGTCTCTCGAAACTTTCGCTCCGACAACTGCGAACCCAATTCCCAACACCAAGTCCGAATTTTCTTACTCCTGAAATTAGTCACCACGTTGCTTCGGAGGTGTCGAAGGCAAATTCGGTGATACGCAGTGGGTTCTTGCCAATCTGGTAATGATTCGATGGCACTGAGTAGGCCCGCATCCCTGTCAGAAAGAATGCAGATACGCCTCTGGAAGACTACATGTTGCCGCAGATTCCTAAGGAAAAATGACCAACTGTCCTTGCTTTCTTCATCGACAAGCGCATACGCGACCGGCAATAACCGCTTATTCGCAGTCTGTGCTACGGCCACAAGCAATTTTCCCTTGTAGGATCCACGCAAATGTGTGCCATCGACGCAAATAACCGGCGGGCACCTTCGTAAAGTTTGAATGGCGGGACCAAACGCCCAAAATACAAATTTAAATTGTCTGTCTCGAAGGTGTCGAGCCATTTCCCCACCCTGCCATTCCCACTCTACAACTGTGGAGGGATTCGTCCTTTGAAGCGCGGCAAAATACCTACACATTACAAAACAATTTCATATTAAATAGATAAACATAGCGACAAACATTAAATAAATATACTATATTTGTAATTAATTTTTGCTTACTGAGGGAGTTCTGCGAAGTTCGATTCCCAAGTGCCATACACACTCTCGATGGCTTTTCTCCTTCCGTGCCATGCCTTCTTGTAGCTGACATCCACTTTCCAACACTGTTTCACATCAGCCTGGATCATGTCGACACCGTACTCCAATTTCTTTCGAATCTTATTACGAATGAGATTTGAAATCATTTGGGCGGTTACATTTCTGTGGTCATTTCTCTCGACCGGTTGCATACAAGTGTGACTATCAGTCCATTCCGTTAGTTCCCACAATTCATGAACCCGTTTGGACTTAGTCACCCGAGCCTTCCACAAACAAGGCGGATCTTCACTAGATCTGCAGACCACTTTGTATGACTTTTGATTCGAATCATTTATCCGAACCTCCCGCAACCTATCGACGTTCCAAGCCATCAGAGCCATTTGGGCTTCTTTCTTGCTCTCAAAAACTATACCCAAACGTATGGTCTCAATGTCGCCATTCCAGCGTGGAATAGCATACTCGTCCGCATCTATCTTGGACGGGTCCCATTCACCCATCTCGCGGTATACGTGCCGACCACCACTAGGAAAGGGGAATTCTTCTTCAATGAACTCGGCTTCACTCTCCTCATTCACCGATCTATCTGATTCGGTTTCTGAGGTCTCGTCTGTGAAATCATCTTCACCGAGTACGAACTCTTCGTCACTTTCTTCCTCGTCCTCATTTGCCCTTTCTCTAATTGGTGAGCTTGTCCCTTCTCCAAAATTACGTAGATGAGAAGTCGACGTGCCCTCATCCATTCCCCCGTAATAAGGAGTAAAATCCTCAAATTGTGTGACCGGTGTAATTGCTTCCAACGATAAATGCAAATACACAACGGACATAGGTTCATATCCATAAATCCACTGAAGAGCACTAGAGTTATCGAGTCTTCCGGCAGTCCACGAACCATCGCGTTGACGAAACATTAAAGTAATCACTTTAATTGTCCAACCTTCTCCAAAACGACAATTCTCATTAATCATCTGTACCAGTTGTTCATATGATATCCTCCCCGTAATCACAAATGAACCATCCGGACTATCCATAAATGAAACAAAATCTCTTAACTGTTCCTTCGCAAATCGCCAATACAAATTAACAAAATACGGACCACAATATGCCATTTATACCTGTTGCAAAAAAAACTTTCAATTCTTCCAAATTACAACAACACATGATGTCTAATACAACACCCAAAAAATTCAATTATTCTTTAAATCCATTTTTACTCCAAAAAAATAAAAAATATTCCCAATCGATTAATCCTCAAAAACCATAATATCCATAATTCAACAATAACATACAACATACAATTCATCTATATTTCGAATAAATCGAAAATCCTAATTCTAACCCTAAATTCGAAAACCCAACAATAACAAACCTATACACAATTGATAATTTACAAAAAAAAAAAAATTCAATCCTCAATTCAACATACACACATAATCGATAAACAATTAACAATTCCCAATTTCAAACATCACAACATTCAAACATACTATAACAAATTTAAACAATATCAAAAGTTGAGATAAGCCAATATACCTCGTTCGAATTAATTATCCGGAAATGAGGTTCGTGTTGTTGTTGTCGGTTCACGTAGAAGTGACGATTGGATCGAGTTTTTCTTTAATTTTAACGAATTTCCGCCTTGAGCTGCGCTGCTGCTGTGTGGAGGCTGTGGATTGGAGAATTGGGGGAATCGCGCAAATGAATGGAGAAGAAGAAGATAACATTATTTTTTATTTAGTTGTAAAACGTATTTCCGAAATCCGTTTTAGGAGTATTTAATTGTAAAACGTATTTTTAATATACGTTTTTATATATATTAGATTTAAAACGTATTTTTAAAATACGGTTTTTGAAACCCTAAATTATATAAAACGTATTTTCGAAATACGGTTTACAATTATCATTTTTTATTCTATTTCTTTTTCTTTTAAACGAAACTATTTATTTTTAATTTCCAAATATAATTATAACACGTATACGTTTTTGTAATTAAATTTAATTTAGAAAACGTATTACGAGATTACGTTCTTTTGATTTTTTTCTACTCCCTTTTTTTTTTTTTTTATTTTTGTCCACTTCATTTTTCTCTTTTTGAAATAAATAAACTACGCCCTAAAATTCAGGTATTTGTTCGGAAAAAAAAGAATGAAAATAAAATAAATTAGTAAGTAGCACTGCTTAAAAAAGGGTAAAGTGCCATCTATAGTTCATCAGGTAGACAAACAATTGCAAATCAACTTCTCTTCCAGCAACAAAGATTCAGGTGTAAATCAACTCAACTTAGTACACTATTTCACTTACTAACTTTAAACTGTACAAAAGCACAAAAAGCAGTAGCAAAATTACAGTCCTCCCTATGAACAACCTTTCACATACACAACTCATAAATAACCACCCATATTACGAAGCCCGTCACCACTCATCAAGCTCAGAAAGGCTGAGAAGCCCGCGGGCTGGGACTGATCAGCACCCTCCATTCCCAGCCCGAGAAAGTCAAGAGTCGTTGTGGGCTTCTCGACGAAAATCGAAGGGCCCATCATCATATCATGCAAACCCGAAGACCCGCCAGAGCCAAGCCCAAGACCAAGCCCAAGCCCGGACTGCGGGCCAGATGGAGAAGTCGGGCCAAGCCCGAGCCCGCTGATGAATGAGCCAGATGATGTCGAGCCCATTTGGGCAGCCTTCTGGAGCAATGCTGTTGCGGATAACGCGGGCTGCGGGCCCTGGAGATAGTGATGGTGATGGTTTTGTGGTGTGGACTGCAAAAACGGGCCGTAGAAGGAAGGGGATAAAGACAGGGACATGGGGTCTGTGGCGGGCCGGATAGGGCCCGATATCGGGCAAAGAAGGCCCGGGAAGGATGCTGGGCCATTAATTGAAGATTGGGGAGTTTCGGAGGTCGATGGACTGAGTGTGGCGGGAAAATTGCCGCTAGCGGTGGAGGAGCAGCTTCCGGTGGCAGTGGTGGTGGCTGCCGGAGCTATTGAGGTAGTTAAAGCTGCCGGAGCTATTGAAGTAGTTAAAGCTGCCGGTTGTAAGTGCACATTCTTATTTTCTGGCAATTCTGCTGCTGTATACGAGAAGGAAAAATTGGGGGTGAAAAAAAAAAGTTCAGATTAAAGAAGAAGGGCTTTTTGATAAAGAAAACCTTTTTTTTTTTGTTTTGTTTTAATCATGAATCTCAACATACTTAAACTAGAAAGCTGGAGGAAAAGAAAAATATCATCACTTTATACTTTTATACACTCATTTCTTTCAAGGAATCTATTTTCTTTCAAATAAGACATTTCAGCAGCTATGTAGATGAGTGTAATCATAGCCTACATTGTTGACCCGAAATCGACCCGTTCGCTAACCTCAATATCTCGTTTAACAATGGTGATGACCCTAATTTCTGATTGTATACCTTACTATACCTATCTATTGTACGAGTCGTGCTACACCAGCAGAATGATTTAACGAATTGAATTACCGAAATTACACACATGATGAGCACCAATTATTCTTCTTATTGAAATATTCGGTTTTGCTATGGAGCCAACAGTTGGCTCCATAATGGAGCCAACCTTCTATATACATCAAATAAACCTACCATATTCATAAAATTATATAAGTGTTATTTAGGTAATTAAAGAATATGGTAGGTTTATTTGATGTATATAGAAGGTTGGCTCTACTATGGAGCCAACTGTTGGCTCCATAGCAAAACCGTTGAAATATTACCCAAGTCAACAACCCAGATTTTGTCGATAAACCAGTTGGTAAACCACTTGGCGAAGTAGATTAAATCTTATTATCATGCGTTTTCTATGTTTCACATGTGACATTATTCGTCCATCAAGTCTACATAAAAGTAAACTAAAATAAAATAAAACCCTACAATAAAACAAGTAAGCTCATGTGGACATAATATGAAGTAATCCATTGACCCATCCAAAAACCCACTGTTTTTTTAAAATTTGAACTTTTGAAATAAAGCTCATCTAAGCATTTTCCAGCAAACTTCCACCACAATAAATATGGTCACCAACCAGACATATCCATATACTCCCAGATATATATTAACAAAAGCAACTAAATTGTTTGAAATTTCAAAAAAACTTTAGGCAGCAAAAAATCTCAAACTAAACATTGAGATCTTAACTTACCCGAGCTCTGAACCGACATAACCGGAGACAACACGCCGGTGGGCGGAGTTAGTGGCGGCGGTGGAGGACTGGCGGCAGCTGCCTCCACCGGTGGTAGAAAAGCTTCAGCCGGAGCTTTCGAATCTCCTCCACCGCTCTCCGGTGGCCGGGACATTGAGCTTTCCCGAGTCAAAGCCTCGCAAAAAGCTCTATGAGTGATGAAAATGTCTCTCCTTCAAGATTCAAAAAACCCCACCAATCAATTAGTAACAATCAGAACAACACAAAAGATGTTATTAGACTGTTTAACCAATAATCACACGTAATTTCTAAAAAAAAATAAAAATTATTCGAACAAATATGCAAACAATAAATCGTCCTACCGTCTCACCTTCTCAGCCATCCAACAAATCAATAAATGCACACATGCAATAAAAAAAAGAAACAAAAAAAAAGACCCACCTTTTCTCTCTTTTCCTGGGTTTGGCTAAAAAGGAATCATGCTGATATTCCATTAATGTGAACCAAAAATGAAAAATGTGGCTCATTTAATAATCCCTCATCATTTTACACAAGATTCAATACTCTCTGGTTAAAAATGACAACTTTAATTTACACACACACACATATAATATAGGATGTGCTTCAAATGAGAACCAGCTTGAAAACTTGATTGATTGTGTTTTAGCGCTATTTTTAATCACGATGATTTTTATTAGAAATAGCAACACAAAATATTAAAAATGATAGCATCAAGTAATATTAAAAATAGCAACATACACAATTAAAAATAATACTACCTCCTTTTTTTATAAATGTCATTTTGGCTTTATCAACAATTGTCTAAATAAATGACGTTTTAGATCTTTTATACATATTTTTCCATTATTACCCTTATTTAACTAATAAATACACTACGTCTTTTCATATTCATTCTTTATATTTTCTCAAAACATCCATCTTTATCCTCATTAATGAGGATTATTATTGCCAAAAAAAATATTTTTAATTAGTGTGCAACTTCTCAAAACGACATGAAGGGAGTATCAAATATGGTTCTCGATGTTCATACCAGGATTAGTTTTTACTTGAACCAGCTATATATATATATATAAATTCAATCTTTCATTCAGAAAGACAGAGATGAGTAATTGGGACAATTTGACCAGCAAACACCGGATTTTCATCTTCCAATCAACTGTGAAAACTCCGGTGCACACACCTTTAAAGTTGAATTTTCCGAGTAATCAAAAACTCAGTCTGAGTACTTAATTTTTTTTTTTCGAGACGAGAGGTTAAATATAACTCGGAAAGAGAATACAACGTTCGAGTGTCAACTAACCCATAAAAATAAAAATGAGGAAGAGACGCTACACATTTTTTAGGAAAAAATAAAAATAAAAAAGAAATATAAATAAATTCACCTTGAGAACAAAGTGCCGCAATCACATCTGTACTCTCGGCTGCCGCACGTCTTCACGTGGGCTTTCCAGTCAGAACAGACGGCGTAGTTTTTGGAGCACCGGTCGCACCTAAACTTCTTCTCCCCGTGCTTCCGGCAGAAGTGCTTCCTGATTCCGGTGAGGTCGCCGAGGGCCCGCGAGGGGTCGTGGTGGGCGCACGTGGGCACCGGGCACACGTACACGCGCCTCCGCGCCGCCTCGCCGGCGCCCCTCTGCCGGAGCTTCCACGGCAGGTTGTGGCCCCGCCGGTGGAGCTGCAGGTTTTGGTCCCGCTGGAAACCCTTGTTGCAGATCTCGCACACGAATCGGTTGGTCGCGAGGAGGGTTTTCGGCGACAGCGCAATCACTTCTGCATCTGGATCTGAACAATTTTAATTTTTTCATAAAAAGGAAAAATCAAGAAATTGTTTCTGTTCAACTGGGTTTCGAAATTTGATGAAATCATAATTTTTCCTTTTTTACTTCCATTTTTACCTGGCATTCCGGCTAGATTCCGTTTTCGCTTGGCCGGAGGGGCTGTTTCCGGTGGCTGATGATTGAATTCCGGTGGATTATTGTGGCCATCGGCGGTGAGGAAGCTGTTGGATTCTTTAAAAGCTGGACGTGACGTTGATGCCGGCGATGAACTCTCGGTAATTTCCACCATGGTTAATCCTTTATATGCCAATAAAATTAATCAATTCAAGTCTCAAGCACCCAACTTTTATGCAAATAAAGTTTGAGCCCATAATAAGCTTAGAAGTGAGGAAAGTTTACTCCAATCTCTTGGAAATCGGTTTTTCTTCCTACAAGAACAAAATCAAACAAAATTTACAAGGTAAAAGAAAGAGAAAAAACTTGGAAACCTCAAATAGAGAAATGTCTCTCGAACTAAAGCGAGAAAATCGGTGAAATCCCGGTTCAACTTAGCAGCCGCCACATCTCCTCCATAAAGCAAAGCAGCCCATGTTCGTACACGACAGCGCCTTTTCAAATTTTATATTATTACACGAGTAAATCAACTTTTTTTTTTCAATTAAGAGAAAAATGGTGTTTTTGACTTTTTGTTCGTATCTAGAGAGAGAAAAGACGCAAAAAGAGACCTTTTTTTTAAATTTGAATCTAATCTAAGATAGATAAAAAAGGGCAATTAAATAAAAGGAAAATCTGTTTGTTTGAACTTTGAAGCTCCTTTCATGGAACAGAACTATAGCTGAAAGCAACAGTAAAATACAGCATTATTGATTTTGTGATGCGGCGTAGGATAACCATGGTTGGGGCCTTTTAACTGTGGTTGGGTTAAGCCATGCTGAGCTGACCGACCCTTGAGTTACATCTAGACATGGACAAAACCCACCCGGCCCGGCCCGCCGGGTCGCCGGGCTCAAAAACACTAATCCTGAATCGGCACGGACCTATACTCGTGTCGGGTTCGTGTCCGGGCTGGGTCGTGTCCGGGTCGTGCTGAGTCCGGACCGGGTCCGTGCCGGGTTAGGACCGGGTCGGCCGGCCGGACGACCCTTTGGCCATGTCTAGTTACATCTTCTCTTTATNTTATTGTCTTGTATCTTTTGTTCATCTTCTTCGGCCTAAAGATAACTCTGGTGCAAATCCGACCGTCCACGTGGAGAGATCTGAAAATCTGGGACACTTGTCCTGTGAACTGGCTAATTACGATTTCTGCTGCATTTCTTTGTCGTTTTGAGTATGCGTTGGAACTTGGAACTTCAGAGTTGAGCAAAGAAAAAAAAAATTGGTGTTGTTTGATTTTTTGAATTGGATTAGTTAATTTTAAAAATGTAAAAATAGAAGGTAAAATGGGTGTGAATAGCACTATAAAGTCTAAGTGAGGGGGAATGAGGCCTATTTTTCCTACCATAAAAGCCTAATAAAGGATGTGTGGCAAGTGACAACTCACAAGTGATATTCTAATAAAAATGTGATATGATGAGTTGTTAGTTGATATATTAAAATAATATTTAAAATAAAATAATTAAAATTGATTTAATGTAAAAGTAAAAGAGATATGATTTGAAATGATGGTTAGTTAAAATTGATTTGGTGTGTATGAATTAGGAGTGAGCATGGGTCGATACGGTTTTCGGAGATTGATAAATCTCCAGAACCAATCTCAGAACCGTACCGAAGTTCGGAGATCACTAAAATTCGATCTCCGGAACCGTACCAAAATATCGGTTCGGTCCGGTTCGGAGATTTTTATTTTTCGGTTCGGTTCGGCTTTCGGGACTATCGGAACGGTTCGGCTCGGTTTGGTTCGGTTCGGATATTCGGAGATTTCTTATCATTTTTTAAATTTTTTTGAATGACCACCTAGTTATATTTTATTTTTATTGAACTTCTTCTTCGTTCCCCCTCTAAGCCAATTCACCAGTCGATGCAATCCAAGAAATGTTTTTTTTTTAAATCCAACATTCATCAATACTTCATCATACTAAAGATTTTATTTTTTAAATCAACTTTAGAAGTAACCCTAAATTTTAGTTAAAACTAAATTCAACTAACATTGAAAACTTAAATTCAAACAAAATATAATACAGTTTTATATTAAAGTAATATTTATTTAACCTTTCATACCATGTTAGTTATAAGATAAACTAAGGGTAAGTATCGACAACTTTAAGTAAAACTTACATATATATTTTTTTTTAAATCTTTAACCTTTCATTTTTAAACATGAGAAATTCAATTGTACGTCAAGTATTACTAAACATGAAATATAACTGAATCTTAATTGTTATTACTATATTTTATGTGCATTTTAAAAATTCTCAAATTATATAGGATCAAAGTTGACGAAAAATATATTAATAACACGCATTTATTTTTATAATTCGATTCTTAATTTCGGTTCTTCGATTCGGTACGATACGGGACGGGACGGTTCGGTTCGGTTCTCTGTACGGATATTTATAAAATCTCCAGAACCGTATCAATAATTTTTTGGGTTCGGTTCGGTTCGGTTCGGAGAAAGTCAAATGGTCAACGGACTTGTGTGTGAATCGTTTTGATTCAATTATTGTGTGTGAAAGTACAATCTCCAGAATCATGCTATTCAATCGTTTTGATTCAATTATTTTTTATACAAAAAAATTCAATCTATCTTTTTTTTATTGTGTGTGAAAGTACAATTCTATTTGAAAAATTGCTCATTTTCACCGACTAGTCACTCCTTATTAGCCCAAACTATTGAATAGATTTAAAAATAATACTTATGTTTATTTCTTAACTGTGGGCATATATATATATATATAGGGGCTGGTTCAAATAAAAACTATGTCTGGTGTGAGAACCGTGAGAACCATATTTGATGCTATTTTTAATTGTGTATGATGCTATTTTTAATATTACATGGTGCTATCATTTTCATAAATGCTAATAAAATCTTGTTGCTATTTTTAATCAAATACATCCTAGTTAAAAATAGCACTAAAACACAATTAATCATAGCACTACATACAATTAAAAATAGCGGTTCTCACGGTTCTCACGCTAGGACTTGGTTCTCATTTGAACCACATCCTATATATATATATATATGTATGTTTGTTTGTACTCTTATCCCATCAATATCTATATATATATAAAGAGGAGCAACAAAGTATTTAATTTTATTATCATGCATTAAATTTTATTCTCTCTCCAAAATTTTCAGCATTTAATTTCATTTTTAGGTTATAAAATAACTTGCTTGAATGCCATAAATTATGAGCATAAACCAATCAAGAGAGTTACAAAATTGTACTCAAATTTTAGGTCACTCACTCATGAAAATGGCTGAGTGTATTAACATAAAGAAAATGGTTGTGACGGCTTTTCCTTAGCAATTACTTGATCAAAATAAATTTTGAGAATTATTTTCTTAATTCATATTTTTTTTCATGAATTAAATTATGATTTATTTTTGTTTTTTTTATATTTTTATCTTTTTAAAGTATTCTTCTCTGTGCAAATGTACAGGTTGATTACTAGTTAATGATTAAATGTTAGAATGATGGAATTTATGGATCATTAATATATATAAAGGATTAACTGTTGAATGATGGAATTTATGAATCATTGTTATATTAAGGATTAACTATTAAATGATGGAATTAGTATCAAATTATTTAATTTAGACTACACATGCGTATATTATGTAGCATATAAATTTGGATTCTTTTAAATGTTCACTTATATACAACACATGGATCATGTACATCAACATATGAGTTTAATGTTGAAGAAATAAATCATTAGATTTATTAAGTAATTTAGGGTTCAAAAATGTGTTAAAATTAACATTACTTGACATTTTTTTCCCCTAAAACAACGTCGCATATATACAACTTATGGGGAAAAAGTTTTTCTTGTTTTTTATTTGATAAATGACTAAAAAATAAAATGAAACATAATTAAATTGGTGTACCATTTCTTTTTTTTTTAAAAAAAAAATATTGTTGTACTTAATTTATATTTTCTTAAAACTTGTAAAAGTTTGGACGTAGTTCTTTATGATTTTAAAATGTTTTATAAAGTCATTACATATTCATTTCATCTGCCACGAGTTTGTTTGACCTTGAAAGACGCTACCTACATCAATTACATGTAGAAATCCTACTACTAAATCTCACACTCAAACTTAAATTTTCAAGTTCTCATAAAAAAACTAGATGTTAAGATGTTTTTTAAAATTATAAATAAAAAACAAAAGAAAATGATATTAGAAATAAATATTAAAGTAGAAAATATTGTCTTTAAAGATTTATATTAGAAAAAATATTTAGCACTGCTCAAGATGAAGATTCTTTCAAATTCAAATTTTTAGAGAATTTGATCTCGGCTCTATTTATTATCCTAGAATATTCAAATCTTTACCAATTTTATACAAAGAATTAGATAGGCTACTCAAGATTCTTGTTATATATTCAAATTTTTACCAATTTTATACAAAGAATTAGATAGGCTACTCAAGATTCTTGTTATAGCTACTCAACATTCTCAATTTTATACAAAGAAATAGATAGGCTACTCAAGATTCTTGTTATAGCTACTCAACATTCTCGATCTTCTTCGAATTATACTAACTTAAAATTTTCCTCATTCTCATTTACTTTGATTTTGATTCCAATGTTTACCAATTTTTTACACATAATTAAATCTCAAAAAATATGAAAATTCTCAAATTTATGGAGAACTGAACACGAATTCACCCTCTATTTATTAACCATCTCAGCTCCAAATTTTCATAAAGGATGACTCTTCAACTCCGTTGATTAGTTTCATCTCACTAATTCAAATCCTTAATTTAATTTGGCATAAAATAACATTTAATTAGTTAAGTAAGAATGCACGCAAATTTATAAGATTGCCTAGGATTATATAATCATATTTCGTGAGTAAAAACTATAAAAAGATTGAAGAGTTTATGAAAAATAAAGTATCCTAACCTATTAGTCAATGGGTCACTCGATTGTACTCTCATGATACTTCTAGCTACTTTTGGTAGATAATTCAATGTGATCAATTACGCAAAATTCACGTTAGTGCATATCAATGTATGAGATTTGGATATAGAGAGAGAGAAGAGAGAAAGATTATTCTGTATATTGTCGAATGAACAAAGTGAGTGGATAATTAGGTTACAGTACCCTTTTATACTTAGGGTTAGGAACACTAATAAAGCTAAAG